ATGGAGCAGACATCTAAAATGACATCTAGGTGTTTTTTGCTCTGAAGGAGATAATTTCTGTGCCCAGGGACATCTGTGCTGGGACTACCTGTAGTTAGGCTGGAGAGCAGGCACACTTTCCATTCCTGGACGTGTCTTCACCTCGTAGGAAAAGTTCTTGTCATTGCTCCTGACTCACACTTTGGGCTGGTGGAGTTTCACCCCATTTCTGTGTCTTCTGCCTGCAGGGTCTTTGAAATCTCCTGCCGTGGTGCGCAGCAGCAGCAGTGTCTTCAAGTCACGACTCGCTCTGCAGCTCTCAGAAGAATGACTATCTACACAGAGTTTATGGAAGCTCCAGCCAAAACTCTAATTCAGGAGAGCTGTTTGTAATAGCTTTCCTTTCAGATGTGTTATTAAAAAGCTTTCTTCTGGAGCAATTGGTGCTTTTCCAGTGTACAGTAGTTATTCTGGTATGCAACTGCTTATACTGGAAAATGGTTTCTCTACAGGAATGGCATGTGATGAATGATGTTTAATCCTGTAAATTGGGACCAGCTTTGGGATGAGGAGGAAATCAGACATGACAAGGAACTGCCAGTGGGAACAGGCTGTGGGCCCATGCTCCACTATAACTCTGGAGGATCCATCCCTATGGGACACTTCTGAATACGAGGTATGGACTCAGCTCAGGTTCACCTTTTGCTCCACTTGGTCCTAAGCAACGGACTTCATGAAGAGCTGTTTTGAGGGATTTTAAATATTATTGCCATTTCTATATTGCAGTTCAAAGTCCAAACCCAGTTTATTAACTTCCAGGTCTCTCTTAGATATTTGAGGAACCTAAATTAGAATTGCAATTTCACCTTAAGTTTTTCCAAACATAGATGCCATCAACAGCCCTCAGCTGTGTAGACTACCCCTGTTCCATGGAGGAATTTCTTCAGTTTTCTAACTCAAGGTGGAGGGCTAAGCAGACCCAGACATGAAATGAACACCTGGCTCTGTAAATCTGGAGATTCAAGGCAGGGTGTTGAAATCACTGCACTCAACCCTCCAGCTAGAATAATTTAGAAAGCTTATAAACTTCCTACCCACTCACTTCCTACTCTGCCTTGCTAGGCAAGCTATAATTTTTATTTTTAATGAACTCTGAATTCTGAACAGGTCATCATATTGCTCTGTCAAGCAGATCATAGGAAGAAGATGGTCAGAGGTATCTTCCAAAGGGAGATTTCACAAGGATGAATCCTGTCATGCTTTGACCCAGTGACCTCTCTTGGCATAACGGCTTTTGCACCAGGTGACCCAGCCATCAGCGCAATGACTCATTACAGATTTGTGTGATTCATGCTTTTCTCCTTATTGGATTGCACCATGCATCCTGCAATGGGTGAATCAATTTGGCTCGGACAAGATGTGGAACCCATCGGTCCGGGTTTACCCATTCAGCTGCTTAAGGAAAAGTCCTTACTTTGTTAAACTTGGGTTTTAATAGGAAAAATTATATGGCTGGAGGCTGACTCAGCACTCTGCAGAAGCCAAGGGGTTTATGAGCCTGAGTTTATTTTGTGTCACTAGAGCTGGTAGGAATACAGCTAAAGGGGAGGAGCCAAGGATTGGTTCTTCCTTTAAAATTTCACTTGTGTCTTTCGCCCAGAGTGGAGTGACAACGGAGGGAGCCAAGTGACAATGAAAACAGCAAACTTGGAACCTGGGTGTTGGTTTTGGATCATGTCTAGAAATAACAGCCCGAGCACAGTGCGTTTCTTGTGGCACATTGCACAGTTCTTCAGGAGGTAAAGAAAAGGAATAAGAAAGTGACAAATGTTACAGACAAGTGCTCTGTTGGACTCGGGTCAGAGGGCAAGGGTTCAAATCTTCCTTCATCCCTAGCTACTCCCATATTTGTGGGTCCCAGAAGATACTGGAAGAAAAGATTGAGATTTATGGAATGAGCACAGGAGAACAATATTGTCTCTGATTTCCCTGCTGATCTGAGTTTCCTTTTTTCCTTTGAGGTTTCTTCTGGGCAACCAGCAGTTTCCATAAATTAAAGTGTTACATTGCCCACCCCACCCCCACCCCGCCCCGGGCATCCAATGCCTTGATTTTTTGACAGTGTACAGATTGATAGGGGTAGTTCATTCTAGGCACTTTAACATCTAATATTTGAATCAGGCCATGACTGAAAACAGAAGTTCCTTGCTTGGGCTTCAGTAGCTTTGGCACCATGACCAGGAGGTGAGGCATGAGTTTTTGTGACAGAAGTTTGGAAATTTCCTTTTTTCAAGTCTTTGTGCTGTGAAATAGCATCTTTGAATGTCCATGCAAGGCAACGCTAAAGGTGTGGACATCTCGCTGTGTCCACCCAACACTAGGAAAGCCCAACAGTTCTGAGGTCCTACCTTGTTAGTCTTACTGATACATCCTTCCTTGTTTACGTCTACTGACCTGTGGACTTCTTCTAACCACCAGGCTGGGTAGCAGTACCCTGTGCACCAGTTACTGCGGGAGGTGGGCTTGTTTGGAAGCTGCTGCTGACACACATCTTTAATTGTTTTGTGCTTAGATCATGTGTCCCTAGCATCCAGCTGAATGGTGCAGGGCAATTCCTGCCTTGGCACAGAGAAACTCCAGAACTGGGGTCTTTCAGCTCTTACCTCCACTTTGACTAGTTATTTCTTCCGAAAAATCTTCCACTTCTTCCAGCGTTGCATTACTGCCCCTTCCCCAAGCTCCTTCCTAGATAATAACATGGCTGTAGGTTGGGAAAGCAATTGCATAATTGCAAAATCCCTATTGCTCATTTTAAGTCATTGGATCTTCGGCTGTAGTGATTCACCCTCACAACGCCCCAAGAAGGGAATGTGATATCACTCTCTCCAATTTACTGATTGAGAAGCTGAGGTGTGGAAAGGTGAAGGATTTGCTCAGAGTCAGGCAGTGATTCAGTCGCAGAGCCGGTGTTGGAGCGCCCAGCCCACCCAGGCTCCTCGGGCTTGCATCTGTCTAGACTTTTCCAAGCACCAGCTTTGATGCTGGTGTTACCACCATCTTCTACCATCAACCTGGGAGCCTAGACATCTCCCCTCCCTTCACTAGTTGTGAGGAAATGTCTGTATCCTCAACTCATAGCTAGAGGGGCTCAGATGCTACAGACAGGAGAAATGTACCTATCTACCTGGAGAACAGCATACCTCCCTGTGCCTCTTGCTCCTCCCCTGCCTCTCTCTGGTCTTATGGCCCTGTCCCCACCACCAGGGAAGTGATGTGATCCAGGACCCTGTCTAAATAAATCTCAATAAACCTACACTACAGAATACAGCATCTGCACACTGTTGGTTCAACAAATGGCAAAACAGCCCACAGACCTTAGCTTCGGAACTGCCAAAAGGGAAAAAACCCAACACACAGCTTCATTTCTGGCTGTGATAACTTTGATACAGAGTCAGGGTGAAAAGGACAGAGCAGAGTATAAAGAAGAGTGCAGAGGGGAGTGCAGGAGGAAGCGAGGCAGAGGAGTGGCTGTGGATCCTCCACGGCTCGGGTGATGCACAGCAAAAGGGCAAGGGGAGAAAGAGGGAGAGAAGGTAAAAAACAGGTGTCCTGAGTGCTGGTTTGCAAACCCCAACTGCAGTGAGCATGGATGGGGCTGATGGAGTGCTCGCGGTAGTTCAGAGGATCCCATTGATGCTGGTGATACCAGACTGGGCCTGAGGAAAGTTGCCTGTCCCTGTAATTATGTTTGGACCTGAGTGTTTCCCTGCATTTGATTCCTCACACATTATTGCTTTCTTAACCACATTCCTGACTCTACTTCTTAGGCTGGCTGCAGTTTCCATATGAAATAAAGGCCCATTCACTGCTGCACTAAAAAGCTCTGCTTTTCCAACAGGAAAGTCGATAGTTAAACACGGGGAAGAGGAAAAGCTGGGCATCTGTGGCTTTGCAGAGGAGGTGGGGGAACAAATCCAGGAAAGGGGTGCCCTTCAGTCCTGCAAATTCAGCCCTGCTGCTCTGTATCAAGCCCGTGTGAGTCAAAGAACCCGGGGAATTTTTACTACTCACTTAACAGAAACCAGATGCCACGAGTGGCACGTGTCCTGTTAGCAGCCCTCACTCCAGATGGTACGGACTGGGACAGCTTTCATTCAGACCGTCCCATATCCCAGGGTGATACAGGACGTTACTGAGGATGAAAAGGCAGCAAGGGCTGGTTCCTGCGAGGCTCAGTGAGTCAGTGGTCTCCTCATAAAGGTCCTATGATGAGGGATTGGCTCTGCACTTGGGACCTCTCACTGCTTTTCTTCACAGCGTTCATAGGGACTGGGCTGGAAAGGCTATCCCAAAGCCCTGGGAGGGAGAGAGAAACTGTAACGATACACAAGAGTTTGGACCCAGATGCAACTTTTCATGGAGAGAGATCTGGTCTTGCTTCTTGATACCAGCTTCAGCTGGGTAATTGCTGGAGTCAGGAGGTGCCTTGGCCTCAGCCCGCAGTACAGGTGGGGGGGATCAAACCCTCCTGCCCCACGATTTTGCTCCAAAATCACCTGCAGTCTCTGGATCAGCACAGGGGTACTCATCACTTTGCCATCCTGCAGGAATTTGGGAGGGAAAGAAAGGTAAAAGCAGGGTATTGTGATTGCACGAATGGGTTAAGACACTGCTCAGTCCATGCATTTAGCTTTTAGGGTCTCAGCTGGAGCTGGAGAGGGGCAGATACGGCTCCATGTTTTAGGTGGTAAGTGAAGAAAACAGCAGGGTTTTGAGCAGGACATCTTTGTCACATTTAATTCCTTCTTCTGAAACTCCTGAATCCTTTGCTCACCTATGCAAGCAATGAAGAAATTTAAGAAAACCACCCACTTTGTCTCACACTGAAAAGGAGGGGAAAAAAATAAGTTGGGTTTGAAGAGGGGGTGGAGGGGGTGTGGTTACCCAGGAGGTGTGTCAGGCATCGAAGAACTTATTTATAAGCAAAGGCAGCCCTACTGAGGAAGAAACTTTGCTGAGCCTTTGTTAGCTGCAGCTTTTTCCCCCAACACTGCTTGAAGGACACCGCTGCTGCGATGGGGAGGCAAAAGGACGTTCTTGCTACTATTGAGGAGCACCTGAGGATCAGAAACAAATTAGTCCGGCAAGCGCTGGCTGAGTGCCTGGGGACACTGATCCTGGTGGTGAGTCTGTGGTGCTGGGAATACTGTGGTGTGGGGATGCTCTCTAACCCTTCGGTGCAGGGGGAAACTGTCCTGGTGAAGGGGTTGCGCTGCTGCCAGGGTTTGCACCAGGCACGAGCCCAGCTCCAGTGCAGCCTCCCCTGTGGGGACTAGGGAAGTCCTTATCCACAGGAAAAAAGTTCATGCAAGTTGCCACAAGATGAGCTTCAGGGATGCTGTCAAAGGGTGGGCTCTGCAAAGCTTGGTGGGTGTTTGGGGGCTTTCGTGTGCCTGCAAAGTGCAGGGAGCAAAAAAGTCTCTGTGCAAGCAGCAAGTGTTTTGCTAGAGATCATGCAAAGCTTCCTTTCTGTCTGCCCTGGAATATCTTCTTGGCACTGAAATACTTCAAATGTTATCACCCGGGGAAGTGAAAGGTTTTTCCTCATCTCGCTTTGTTTTCCTTGGAGAAAGAAGTAGCCAGAATTTAAACTGTTGCAGTCATTTGCTTTTGGCTGCAGGTTCCCCAGGGTCTTATCAGCGGGGTGCACGACACCACAGCAGTCCATGCTGGTGGTTGATCTGGAGCTTGTGCTTGCCATGTGTGTGACAGTGCCGAGCTGCCAGCCAATGTGCTTTTAAGAGGTGAATTGCAACAGAATTCTTCTGCCTGTTTTAGTGCTCCGTTTCCAAAGAGATGAGATATAAGTAATAAAGCAGGGTGAATATCTGTATAAGTGACTTAGTTTGAAGCTGTTTTGAGCAGCCCTGGGTTGCTTTTAAGTCAAAGGCAGGTGCAAACCGCTAGGACGGCTGTGTGTGAGGAGTGGGGAGCAAATACCGGTGTAGCAGAACTGGGATAAGGATATCGGGCTTTGGGCATCTGCATCCAAAAAAGCAGGACTGCCTGACAGGCCACGAATCTTATGCACTATCTTATGCTTTAATAAATAAGATTCTTTTCTGATGAGGAAGAAGAGGCTACCGGGTCTTGTGTGGGAGCACAGGGGGCTCACCTGAGTCCGCCTAAAATGGTACCACTTGTAAAAGAAAGCAGCTTTGCACAGTGCAATGGCTGATGTCAGAGTGACCCAGCTCTGGTGATTTGCAAACAAGTCCTGTTGATTTTTCAGGGAAGGGTTATTTGGGGTTAAGGTGGGTAGAAGCTGATAGGAAAGTGATTAACAGGTAGAAAGTTGCTGTTTATGAATCGCTGATGTTGCTGCAGTTAGTCTCAGGATTGAAGCAAGGAGGAATAATGTCTCCTGCTAACTAAGTTATATTGCTGGAGAAACAAGGCAAGCCTTTAGCCATGTGGATCTGAGCTTTCAGAAGGG